ATTACAAATAACTTCATTTCTGGACATTTATGGTTTGATCTCTTTGTATGTATGGATCACTTGGGTTGTTACCGACATCTGGTGAAATTTCATGTCATTGGCACCTCTAGTAATATATTTACTGAGAAAAATGGTGACGTGTTCAATACTTATTTTACCCGCTGCATATATATATATACACACACACACATACGCCTCCTGTATGGAGAAACTAGTCGCATGCATTGGTGATGATACTTCATTGCCCCTGTCAGACAGATTAGAGTGGAGCGGGTGACCGTTCCAAGATGGCGGCCCCACGGCTCGTGGAAGCGGTCCATGCGGTCTGATTAGTCTGATGTTTACGGTAGATTCATTTCCGCCATCTTAAGATAATGCCTGCAACAAATGTGCATTGCCTTTAAAATTTACATTTAAGCTACAGAAAAATGACTCATGCACATTTAAAAACTAATAAATGCTTATTTTAACTCGAATACAGGCATAAATTAAAATACTATTGTTATGAAGCCAAAACAATATATATTTGTTGCATTTATTACAGGCAGTCGATAAGCTTCCTTTTGGGTCTCCCTCAGCTTAGGGTCCTTGATCAACGTGGGAGACACGAAAACTGTGATGTTATTTTGAACAGTCTGATTAATGTGGCACCGAGAAACGGTGGTCATTTTATATTGTTTTTGTTGACAGTGGTAAAGTTACGAATACCACCATGATGCCGGGAGACAGTCTGTCTAAAATGGCAACAATTGCTGCGGATGCGGCCATTGGAAACTGCGCAAATTGTTCTATTTTGCACCAGGTCAGACATTCTCCCTTTTTTTAAGCTACGATGTGAACCGTGATGGAAACATTTAACCTTTTCGTAATAAGCTCGAATAAGTACATTTGTAAACACGAATTTACTCGTTTGTTTTGTGCTCTTTCCTGACTCCCTTTTCCCGCAGAGCCTGACAGAATATGTGTCGTCATTTCTGGCACTTAAACAGAAGATACTAATTTCAGAGTGAGTATCAAACAGTTGACATTGCAACGCTGTAACTCCATATTTGCGGAGATATTTTCAGAAAACATATTTTCATGTATTTAGAATCAGGTACTGTTATATGTCAATATTTTTGGAACAAGTTATTGAACTACTGTATTTATCAACACACTGGCTTCACTGATCAACACCGGGCAGGTATTATTTATGTCAACATCGCTAGCTTTTGAGATCTACAGCTTTACAAAGTTATTTTATGTATTACACGCAGGTATTTTTTCTTTTACTTATAGCAATTTGATAACTGAATACTTACAACATATATTACAATGCCCAACTTCAGGTTTAATGCTAAATCAAATTTTATTAATGTGTTTGATTTAAAAAGTGACATTGCACTCATTTATTAATTATATTATTCATGATTTTACTGTGTAGATATTTTCATGAAGTATTTTAGGACTCAAGAACACATAACTAGATTTTATAAAACATAGGTGTTATTCTTTTTGAAATGAAGTAACCTCCAAAATCAATGGTCTGTATGGTAATTAAGTCATAAAATACAGTGTGCACTGCACAATATTAGGAAAACCTGCGATGTGCGATAACAGTGCTTAATATTGTGATGAGGATATGACTTGCGATAAATGAAAAAATATGTACGTATATGTAGTGTTGATGTCTTTCTGCTCTGGGTTCAAAGCCCAAAAAACAACATAAAAAAATAATCATTTCCATTCCAGCCGGATTTGTTTTTTAATTGACCAAATACATGAAGGGTTCTATTTGATTGGTGAAATATTTCAAGCTTCCATCTGAATGAAAAAAAGCATAAATGCAAATTTTTGAGTCAACCATTTATTGCAGTTTATGCAGTTGTTGCGATATGCATATTACACAGGCTATTATCGCGATGACGATATATTGTGCAGCCCCCACGTGCACAGGCAAAATCGACCATGCATTTTCTTGCAAGTGGATCTACACATTAATCTCTCATTGTGTTTTCTGCAGCGACACAGTCAGGCTTCAACAACAGCTGAAAGAACTGCAGATCCAGTTGATCACACTGGAGAAAAAGACTTCAGATTATGATTCTATACAGGCAGAGCTGGAAGAAAAGATGGTATGCTGTGTCCTTACGCATTGCTGTCCATGTCACCGTACTTTGCTGCTTGGCTCCAAAACCTCCTTGAATAGCTGTAAAATTTTTAACTTTTTTTAATCACTGCAGCATGCTATAGAGGCGTATGAACAGCTTTCTAAAGAGATGGAAGAATTAAAGCAGGAGAACAGTGACATTGTGGCCAAGTAAGTTACTTTTTCATCATAGATTATAAAGCTTTTTGTCACTGCAGTTTAATTATGTTTCCTACCCTCTCAGGAGTAAGACGCTTGAAGACCAGATGAAATGTGTGAATGGTAATTTCCACACAAATACTGATTACCGTACTCTCCTTAGAAATATATAAATAATCACTTAAAATTGTAAAATACTTTTGTTAACTCTTAGATTTGACAGAACAACAGTCACAGGAAAATGCACAACTGAAGAGAGAAAAATCTGCTGTTGAAAATGAGTTGTTAAAATCTCAGGTGAGGACCATAGCTCTATTTTTATTTAATATAAAATTTATTTTCACAGAAACCTGTTCATTACTTGTCATATTTAGTACACCAAATGTATGTTAAATCTGTTCAGGCGTCTTTGAACAAATGTCAAGCAGAAGTGGATAAAGCTGAGAAGTTGAGGGAAGAGAATGACAAACTGACAAACGTGTAAGTTGTGCTTCAAACTTACTTTTTAAAATCAATCAGCCATAAATAATAATATAATAATTGTAGCATTTTTTAACAATGTTTTTGTCATATTAGGGATACATCTGTATAAAAAGGTTATTTAAAATCTTTGTGATCTTGTTTCCAGGAAGGATAATCTTGAAAATAAAGTGAGACAGCTTGAAGGTGAGTTTTAGAGCTCTGGAACATCACACTCTGATTAGATTTTGCTCTGCTTGTTTAGTGGATAAACTGAACATTTTTTAAACTTTATTTCAGACTCAATTTGCCAAAAAAATCATCAGATAAATCATTTAACCAAGGAGAAGCTTATGCTAGAAAACAACATTTATGACCTCCAGGTAAAGTAAGGGCTTTTCTGCTAGATAAAGTATTTTAAAGTGTTTAACTGACCATTTGTGTTTGCTTTTTTTTTCTTTTTTTTTTTGTAGGACAGACTAAAGAAACTGGAACGAGAGAGAAGTAAAGGTAAATATCAGGGCTGTACTTAACAATTATTATTTATTTCAACAATTTTTATTTTATTTTAAACAAACAGCTAATGCACCTATAACTCAAAACAGCAGCCTCTGTTAAACCAAACTTGACATTATGAGTATTTTTTAGTATGTTTAAGGGAAAAAAATCTATGACCTCTGAACAGTTACTGTTCAACATAAGCAACGTATTTTAGATTATAAAAGTAAATAGCGTTTTTAATCGAAATAACATTTGTTCTGTTTCTCAATAAGAATGTAGAAGCACGGTAACTCAAACAAGAGCACCCGCAGAACCGAAAGTAGACAAAGGTATGGTGTTTGTACGCTTTTTAAAAATGTATTTGATATATTTGTTTTATAGCAGATGAAATTTAAACATTTTTTTTATTGTTTTGTTTTTTTGTCTTGTTTTGGGAACTTCTCAGAAAAGGTACGAGTGCTGCTGCAAAGTTTATGGTCGTGTGTGGAGCCAGAGACAGAGCAATCAGCAAACCTGTTGCATTTGCCTGGTGAGTTTTCATTAATTATTTTGATGTTATTATCAGCAAAATTCAAATTTTTACTGTTGATTGTATTTCTTTTACAAGGCACTTCCTCAGTTTTTTTTTTTCTGTTTCAGAGCCCATTTCTAAACACGTCCTCCGCTCGTCTCCAAAAGCCAAACAGAAATCTAACCCAAGTAGAATTTCACTCTCTGCTTCTCAGACGAGCAGTGGAGCCGACAGCCACCTCATCCAGGCCAAAGCCTCCGACACACCGTCAAACTCGTCTCCTCAGAGAGAGGACGTCACCAAGCACCAAGCTTCTCCTCAGCGCTTCAGTGGCAAGAAAGGCACAGGCGATTGCAATAAAAGAAAACGATCATCCAAGCAACAAAAACTTGAAGATTCACTCCCCAAAAATAACAACACTCCTGAAGTTTCTTTTGATGCAATATTGGAATTGTTTAAGCCAATGCCTCCCTGCATATCTCCACTACAAGACCTGGTGAGAGTTTTGCCTTATTTGGTTTTGTTATTATTATTATCATTATTTTATTTTAGCAGTTTTGTTTACCTTCAGTTCAAATAAACTTTGCACAAAAGTAAAGAAATTTAAAGACTTACTTATTTTTCTTTTTGATTTTTCTACCTGGATTACTGAGATGCATCAGGACATAAAGAAATTTGTGTTCGGTAGATTAGTTCTTTGTTGTAACAATGCTTCTTGGCAATAAATTTTATACTATTGGAAAGCCTGGTAGTTTCACTTTTAAATAGTGCCAAATGAGCAGCATTTTGCTGTTGCTATTGACACTTGTTTTGAGTTTCTGGTACTTCCAGGTGCTCTCAATAAGGTGCCTGCTCCAAGACTTATTGCCAAGAAGCCTTGTTACAACAAGGAAATAATCTAGCAAGCACAAATTTTCTAACTTTTGTGCTAAGTATATTTGTAATGTTAGTATTTGGTTTCAGAGTTTAGTTCATTTTGTTGCTGTTTTCTTATTTGCTATTTAAATTTCTTTCAGGAGGAGGTGGCAGGAGTTATAGAGCTGGATAGTGGAGACAAGAAAAGCCATCCTGAATCATTTGAAGATTCCCATTTTCTCAAACCAGAAGAATCCGTGGATACCATATCACTATCAACCCACAACAGTCCAAAATCTGTACTTCAGAAACAGAAGAATGTGGATTTGATGGATGTTACAACACAGGAATACCAACATGTTTCCAAAGAAAAGGACTTGGAACAAAATAGGTTATGTGCTGTTGCTAATCAAACAGATAAACCTCATAAAAACTGTGAAAAAGGCACGTTGCCAAAGGAGAAGACAGCATCGTTATTGTCATCTTCTTCTGTTAATGTTGAAGATTCCCATTTAAATGCTGAAAGTCTAATAGTTTCATGTATTAGGAGTACTAACAGCAGTGGAGCTGACAATGATTTTGAAGTTGCAAAACAAGATCATTTGGACAATGATACAAACATGGATATTGACTCAATCTTCTCAAGTAGCTCTCTTGATACTGCCGTGGTCACTGCTGATGGTGAAGAGTCAATCGGAGGACGTGACGCAGTCGCGATCTCAGGAGAAACAGAAAATGTGGTTTCAAAAAGCAGTGAGTCCTTCTTGGACGACGGTGTGACCAAAAATGTCCCAGAAGTTGAAAAAAGTCATCTGGATTCTTGTCAGAGCAGTGCTGATACCACTGCATTGAAACTCCCAGAAAATACAGAATGGCCAGAGTGTACTCAATCAAGCAGCAGTGACAGCACAAGTGGTGTCTCCAATATAAACCTGGAAGAGATGCTGGAAAACACTGATGGTATCCAGGTTTGTGGGGAGACAGATGGAATTGCGGCACAGAAAACCGCAAACATCGATGTTACAGTCTCGGATCCAAACATTCACAGTAAACTTACAAGTTTCAACAAATCTCCATTGTTTAGGAAGAACACAGATGAGCTCCATTCTGACGAGGGATATACTGGTTCCAGTTCTGAAACTCTTTTACAAATGGATGTTGAGACAGAGAAAACAATCAGTGAAGCCACGTCTAATAGCGCACCTTTAGTTTCGAATTCACCAGAAGAAGTGACTGTCGATTGTACATCATTTGAGAAAAATACACATTCTGTTTGTAGACAGTTGAGTCCAATGTGCCTTTTACCTATTGTAGAACCGCAGACTTTGATGCCTGACCCAGAAAAATGTAATTCTGATGTTGACATAGAACATACAGTGAAAAACGAAGAGACTCCCATTCCACATGAAGACATAATGGAAACGGAGTCTGTCAAACAGCTTTCTCTGGCCAGCACAGAGTCGGGTTGTACTTCCTCATGCATTAAAGAGACTTCTGCCACAGATGGACAACCTGAATGTTCAGACACACATGAAACAATGCATGAAGTGCAAAGTTCACCTACGAATATTGAAGGAAAATGTAGCTCAGAAGGAGTTCCAGCTGCCGCTCAAGCCCCAGAGTTTATCGGACACGTTCGCTCAGAAATGGGCCCCCCACTTCCACCTGTCCTGACCCCTCTGAGCACACCTCCAAAGGCAGGCAAATCAATCAACCCAAGGCATGCAATAGGAAAACTGTCATTTCCTTCACCCATGGAGCGTGTGGCTTCACCTACCACTCCCACCCAGGTCCACATAGTACCCAACAGTGAAGAGGTAATTTCCTCCTCCCTTAACAGCCCCACCCCTTCAAGCGGAGTCCTCTCATCTCCTCTGCAGTTCGGCTCTGCCACTCCGAAACACGCGTTGCCTGTTCCTGGCCGCCTGCCCTCTAAAGCACATCATTCTCCCCCATCAGCTTCTGCCAGTCCGCCTCAGGAAAACTCAATGAGGATCCTCGACTCCATGTATCCAGAGCTTTCGGCCCGTGCCCGGACTCTGAGCATTCTCAGAGGAAACGTCGGCCTCAACATCGGTTCATCAGAGAGCGGAACGCTGCCCACGACATCTGATAATCAGGCGTCAGGCTTTAAAACCATCAGCTCTTCTTCCACAGCCTTCACAAAGACCGAGATGAGGGGAGAAAAAAGACCGGCCGTCAGTTTGCCTCAGCCTGATAAACGGAAATGCCCAAAGCTTGGAAGCAGTTCTGCTGACGTTACTCATGAGCAGGTGCCTTCTCTGACCAAGAGCAGTGGAGGAGAAACCACCTCGCCCCAGGCTCCAAATATTGACCAGTTCAAAAGTAGCACACCACCACTGTCTGCACAAGCTGCTGAGCAAGACCTTCTAGTGAATGCTTTAGAGAAAATTAAGAACCAATGTTTTGATTTGCTGCCTGTTGTTAAGAGCCACCTTTATGTTGGCAATCTGCCCAAAAAGCCTGTTCTGAGAGATGAAGAGAAGGAGGTCATCTCGGAGATTTGCAAATGTAGCTCGGTTAGTATATCTATAATCTTCTTACACATTTAATACTTGGGCTGTAGCTTAAGAGATGATGCTTGGTTTGCTTGTGTAGAGCGTTGTTAGCCTCCTAATGTTGAAGATTCAGAATCTGATTTGATACAGTTGCTTAGAAAACAGTGAAGTCGACACCTCTCATGATCTGTTGTATAACTTGCTGAAAAATATACAACCATACCATTGGATTGTGCACCAGCTGACTGTATTTTGTGTATGTTGTTTTATTTTCTCCTCAGTCTCAGGTGGATGATATGATTATGGCCATCTTAAACAAACTGAAGTCTGAAAAAACTGTTCTCAGCTCAAACTACACACAAGCCCTCTGTAGAGTCTACACGGCTATCTGTAGACAGAAGAAATGGTGGGAGAAGGCTCACATCCTGGCCTACAGCATTCTTATTGAAGGTACTGTTAAACTCAAGATCTTTATTCATCTTTGGTACGTGGACACAAATAGTGCAGCTATTGTACTTTTCCTAAGGAGACATGATGGTTCACCTCTTAATTACAGTAATTCACCAGGTAATTCAGAGGTGGTCTGTTTGTTTTACTCCAGGAGCTGCGAGCTAACGAGGCTCGCTTTCAAGGCGTCATTACGCTCTTGCGCGATGCTGCGTTCAGGACAAGCATGGAAAATCTCCTACTCTTACGCCATATTGTCACAATGATGCTTTTAGGTACCGAAACATGGTACCTTTTGATTTTACGTGAATAGGTACTCGGTAGTACCAACAGAATTCCGTTGGTACTTATAAAAGTATTGAATTCCGTACTCATCCTTACTTATGGATAAATTGTGATAAAACTGAAGTTATTAATTTTAGAAAGCGGAGTCATGCATTGATAACATTTTCTGTTTTGGGCCTACTATTCTGTCTGCTATAAAAAATGAAAAATTGGGAATTTATTGTGGATGAATATTTAATATTTGAAGAAGGAATAAAAGTTCAGTCTGACTCAGATGGTAGAGTACCAGGTGCTGTTACAAAGTTAAAAACTGTTGTGACTAAGGTTGGGCATAATCGTATCGTGTGTGATTAATCGTCAGAAAAACATTAATCGATTAATTTTTGGCACTTGACTACGAATACGATTAATGCAAACAGGTAGAGTCCGCTCGCTGCTCCTCTCATCTTCAAATATGACGAACATTAAAAAAAAGTTCTGTAACTTACTTATCTATCAACACAATTTAAAATTTGATGTGTAGCCTGAAGTCTGTAATTTTGACACAATTTGGAACATATTTTTAAGAAGAGCAAATATTTCCCACTAAATTGGTTATGTGACTATGAAATAAGGGTGTCCAGGTACTCCAGGGGATTAATCGTCAAATTAATCGTTATTGGCTAAATACCACAATTAATCGTGATTTGTTTTTTTGCCAATATTGCCCAACCCTAGTTGTGACCTGGGTTATAAGACATACCATACTGAGTTGTACAAATCTTGTGTCTGTCCAGTATTAGATTACGGAGCAGGGGTCAGGGGTTACTGTCAACAACTTTATAGTGAGAAAGCCCTGCATTATTTCTCAGGTGTGCATAGAAATACCCCTAAGTCCTAAGTTGACCCTATATGGGATGGGAACCATGTGAAGTTAGATATATTGGAGATATGGTCAGACTGTGGAACAGGTTCATCAATAGGTCAGATCGTAGATTAACAAAATATATATTTTTATCGGGATTTGTCAAATAGAAATAGGTATACCTGGGCCAGACAAACTGAGAAAATATTTGAGGAGTTGGATTATCTGTATATTTATAGAAATAAGTTAAGATGTAATATTGAACAGATTAAACAGTTTTATTTGGAAGTTTATAAATGTAAATGGGCAGTTGATATCTTACGTAAACCTAAATTACGTACCTATTTTCAAATAAAGGACGTTTATTGTCCTGAGCCTAATGCAACATGGAACCTATGTAAAGATCAAAGGTCTGTGTGTGCATAATTTAGATCTGGAACTTTGCCTTTGGCACTAGAGACTGGACAGTTTCATTCAGTTCCAGAGAAGGATTGTATATGTTCTTTGTGTGATTTGGGTGAAATTGAAAATGAGGTACACTTTTTGTTTTATTGGCCTTTGTATATGATTTTGAGAAATTAATTATTTGGTAAAGTTATTGATGTTTATTCGAATTTTTTTTTATTTAGTTGATGAAAATACAATCCAGTATTTAAGTATTTTGTATTGCAGTTTATGCAATTTTTGTTAAAAACCTGACACCTCAGGGAAATTGACACTTTTAGTTTAAAGAATGTTTATGTTTGTCAGCCTGTGTGCGAATGTGTTTAGTTGTTTCTTGTAAGCCTGTGTGGGCTGGGCACCTGTAGTGCATGACACAAAGAGAAAATAAAAATCTAGTCTAATCCTATTTAGTATTAAAAAATAAATAAATATTGAGATAAACCAAGATACAAATTCCTGCATTTCCTAAATTGTGATTTTATTTATTTTCTTTTATTTTCTTGTTTTTCTTTAGATTTTCCAGATTCTGCCAAACTAGTTTTATTTATGGTGACAACGTGGCCCACTGTCCTCTCGCACAGCAGCTTGCTGTGCCAGGCCATTCACAGCATTACCAGACTGAAAGCACAAGAAGAGCTTCTGAGCTGCCTTTCAACGTTTCTTAGATGGGAAAAGGTACTTTTAGACATAAAGTTCTATACTTGTCACATAAGCATTGGTGGTCAGTGCTGTGGTCTTATAATCCTGAGGATGCAGGTTCGAGCCCAGGTTGCACCAGCAAAAGCATCAGCTGTAAATCAACCACCAAATCTCATGTAGTTTCACTCACTGTGTCAACCCTTGCAGAGGCTTGGTCTTACTTTTATGTTCATTACAAAAAAATTAATCTGTCTTTAAATGTGTTTTAGAATAGCTCAAATGTTGGTGCATTTCAGAAGAAATATATACTCTTAAAAGGGTGCCCCTGTAAGGGATGAAAACAATTAATTTGCTGACAGAGGTTCATTATACCATCATAAATACAGTATATTATTCTTGGCTTTTCAAATAAGTGGCTTGTACCTTTTAAAACCTTGCATTTGTTTTTTGGTATAGAATCCTTCCTGCAACATTGAGGAGCTGATTTTCAGAACACTCACTGAGCTCCAGTCAGGTTCAAATCAGTCTTTTACAAAACACACTCGTTATGGAGAAGACCTGGGAGCTGAAGCCTGGGAACAAATTTTCACACTGCACATCCTGTGTTCACAGAAGAAGTGGAAATGGACCTATGAACACGTACTGAGGTAATAAGTGTTGTTTTATTTCTTTTAATGTAAGTCAAATTTACACATCCTCATATGTTTAGTCCTACTTTATTTGTCTAGTAAACAAACAGAAAAAAAAATATCATGACAGTTGTATACCTGTGCTTACTTTTTTATTGTCATTTGTTAGCAATGTGTTATGGCCAATAATGAACACTTGGGTGACACAGCCAAGAGATCGACAAGAACCCGTCTCTGATATGACGGTGGCTACTGTTCTCCGACTCATAGGTCAGTTTTGTTTTTGTATTCATAGCTAATCATTTATATTTTGCATAATTTGTAATTTCGATAATAAAATAGAGTATAAGATTGTGCTTTCTTTCATTAGGCCGCCTCTGTCAGTTGGGCCTGAAAGAGATTTGTGTGTCATCTGTGGACACTGTGGCTAACATCATCAACACATTTTTAAGGCACGGACAGACTGAAGGTATGAAACTTCAGGCAAAACGCAAAGACTCAGTGTGGTTGTCTCTAAAACACAGTTTCTGTTTTTTGTTTTACTAAATGTGCCGACAATTTCAGCCACTCACCTTCATGGATTAGAATTTTTCTGACCATATTCATGTATATTTGCAGACTCATCTGCTTACATAGGTTTTAAACAAGATGGTTTAGAACTTTTGAAATGGGGTTCTGTGAAAAGATTATGAAAATATACACAGCTTTTTGAACAACCTTTGTTTGGAGAACTAGAGAATAATTCTGACCAATGAGCTAATGGCAAGCCCTAGTGGAATCAAGACCAAGGTAGATCGCAGACATCTTAAAAAAACTCCAAAGAAAAATTCTAACAGTTTATATTAACAGTATTTATTTATTATTTTTTCTATAAACCTTTATATCACTGTTAGTTGGAGTACACAGATAGCCTAGGAGAACTGTTATAATTGCTGTTTAAAGTGTTCCAGACTGTACCGTGAGTACCACAACTGCCACTATTTGCTCTTGCAAATAACCATAAATAACACAATATAATTCAAATTGGTTGGCTATGTGAATGACAATAAACCAATGTTGTCATTAAACTTAACCAAGTTTTAAAGGGATCCACGATTAGTTGTAACATTAGACTTTATTTAATAAACATATATTTTAACTGTAAAAATACTGTAGGATGTTTAGTTTTTATAATTTTAAACTAAAAGTTTAAAAATATATTACACGGACGGGGTCATTTTATTTACACACAAAGCCTTCTGGGTAAATGATGACCTGGATAGGTCCTCGATACGAGGCTGCTAGCGAGCTATATCCACCCTGAAGGTTAATCTTGGACAATATCTGATGATCGACTATTTTAATTAAATGAAACCAGAGAGCGTTGACAGAGAGGAGAAGGTAGAAATGACTCAGCCTGTAACTGAAAATATGGATGGAGGACCTCAGTTTAGCTTGTTTGTCGCACTAGCACCGAGCTAATACATTTAAGGCAATATAGCGTCCGTGCTAGCACAAAGGCTAACAGGCTAAGCTGAGGTTCTTCTTCCATGAAGCAGCTCTGTTGTCCTCCATCCATATTTTCATATATGAACATGTAAAATAGCTATTCAGTGGGTAAAATAGTTGGAATGATAGCTTGTTTTCTGCCTGCAGGTGTTCCATGGGAAGTCCAGTTAGCAGCTGTCTACTGCATCTATGACCTGTCTCCCTGCAACCCTAAACAAGCCCTGGAAGCCCTGGCGGAGTGGAGAGGAGAGATAACTCAGCACGTCCCTCCTGCTGTCACCAGTTGCATTAATCAAATAGCGTCTATTGGTCGACAGGTCAAGAGCTGAAAATGAATATTTTAAAGACAGGACAGGTACCACAATATTTAAGTTTACAGCCTAAGATATAATCAGGGATCACACAGCCATGATTTGTGCTTTCTGTAATACAGGAAGTCTGGAGTGTCATCTTTTTAGAAAATCCTTATTCCAACTAAATTGTTTCAGGTATTGTCAGACTTCTTCATCGTTTGTTTGTTTGTTTGTTTGTTTTTTTTCGTTAGTTTTTTAAATGCACCTGTCTTTAGTATAGTTTTTTTAATGCACCTGTCTTTAGTAATTCTGTATTTTCCAATTTTGTAGCAAACATTTTTTATGGGAGATCCAGAAATTTATTTTGCAAAAAATTTATTCAGCGTTATCCTGTAAGACTGTACTAGCATCGTGTCTTGCCTCTTTAATATTCTCAGGTAATGCTATGACATATTGTACAACATAAACATGTAAAAGCTTATTGAGGAGCTGCTGTAAATATATAGTGTTAGTGCTTGTGTTCTAAACAAGTCAAATTGTACAGTTTATTTCAAAGACTTATTTTTTCAAATAATATTTTTCTGTACAAACAGAGTCAAGTTGTCTTATTGTGTGGTTTAAAATCATTGGCTTTTCTTTAATTCCACATTAAGCTTCACCTCAGAAGGATGGAGCAGAACTTGCCAAAAATGTTGAGATTAGACATTTTTAAAACATTTTGCAATAAACCTCACAGCTCACACAAAGTGACCACACAGTACACAATTACACCAACAGGGCAGGACAGGACAAATTAATTTTGATTTTTCATTTTCTAACAAAAAAAAAATCAAACTTAGTGCCCTGTTATTTTTTTTTTAACAGCCAGAATGTTTAATTTCAACTTTTTCATTTTGTCAGTGAATGCATCACTTCAAAATAAACTATTTTATATTACTCTACCACAACCAGGTCTGAACATAATGCTATAAAAATAAAATGGCCCATCTACAGAAGTCTATTTAGTTTTTAAGAATCATTAAATATTCTTGGGATGTTTGTAACTGAAGTGTTTATTTTCATGAAGATTTATTGATCTGTGAAAACTGGAAATACACATCATGGAGTTGAATGAAGTCCAGTGTTTCATGTCTTCTGAAATGAAATGAAAACATATTAAGACTGTAAAATGTTTTAACGTGAGAAATGTACAAAACATATTTCTTTAAATGTGCTTACAAAATTTTAATAGATGCACTCAAACCCTTCACAAATCTTGTTTCTGAATTATAGCAAAACATAAACAGTCCCAAATAGCATTTTTGTCAATTTTCATTTTAAATTGTGTCTTTTGACATAGTGATACAAAATTTTCATGTTTTTTTTTTTAAACGGAAACTAGTAACGTCTAGATTTCACACGTTTGTGTTGCCGGGATTAAATTTAGTTAATTTTGGATAATTATAAGAGCTGGTATTTTCTGGTTTGCCCACCACAATAAAATTCTTACTTTTTTTTTCTAGATTTTAATCAGTCAATAGTCATTTTTTAATCCTGACAGTCAGTAACTGAGTATTTGTAATATTACAAAATTTAATTAAAAAAAGTTTGATTCTTATAAAAAAAATTATGTACATTATGTACATTAGTTGATTTGATGTTGAACACTTGACAAACAAAATATTATTTTGTAGCAATTTGATTGATCACATATATTTAGTTATTTTACCTTGCTATTCTTAAACCAGACATTTTTTTATCTTTTTTTTAACCTCAACAAAACGCTGTGATCTCTTTAACCGTCAGCTTCCGGTGAGGGGCGTGTCTAAAGATTTAAATCCCTCGCACATGCGCAGATGCTGATCCGTGCTGCTAGCTGGGTGCGTCATATGGGCCGTCGTCTTTCATGGGGAGTGGAGTTAAGCCGCCTGACAAAATCAAGCCAGTTTCCAGACATGAAACACTTCGAAGACAATGAGTAAATTAGCACTCTAATTCAAAAAATTTAAGTGTCCTGGAGTGCGAAAGTGTTGATCTGCAAAGTTGCGTCCATTTTTCTGTGGTAAGGTTTACTGCCAACTCGAAACCAAATGGATCTCAGGACCGCTTGGATCCAGCCGGAGCAGCAGAAGGGACCGGTCAATTCTCTGTGGATGCATTTTTGGAGGACCTCGCAGGGACTAGGTGCGAATCCCGGCGTTGACAACCACCTTTACCACCAACGCAACTTTGCGGTGCAGAACGCGAACTCGGCGGACTCTTGCGGTGAGAGCTGCAGACACGTCTCACCGCAACCGGGGGTCGTGTTCGGGAAACTGCCGCGGCGAGACGGCGGCGGGGAGCGGGGGGGAAGCGTCCGGAGGAAAGGCTCGCTGTCACCGTCCACGTCCTCGCTGGACTCGGAGGCCGAGGGCTGCTCCTCCTCGCCCTCCGGCTCCTCGCTCCACATGGACAATTTGAACGTGGCGGAGGACGGCGGGCCGTTTTTGCACGTCGGCGAGCGCAAGTTGAACGAGAACCATGTCCGAAAGCAGCACCCGGCCCCGCCGCCTGCTGCTTTTCACGCTGCTCAGCAGCACTGTCGCAGCGTGCTCCAGTCCACCGGCCACACCCCCACCGGCATGAAAAACCAGCCGGGAGGCAACAAGAACCACCATCACTCCCATTCATCCGGCCGCAGGAGGCACCTGAACCGGGCCAACACCTTCCACGGCTTCAACCCGCTGCTGTCCTACGGTTTCAATGTCCACCAGCATCATGGAGACCCCTCCTGTAGCCTGTGGAAAACCAGGCGCTACAGCCCGGGCATCAACGGGTGAGAAGAGAATCAAACACAAATGATATGATCACAAAGCTTGGTTTCTGTCTAAATGTTCACTTTTCTCTTCGCCTGTGTTTGTCCAGCCTGCATGAAGAAATCGTGGACTTCTTCAACTTCATGTCCCCGAAACCTGAAGAGGAGGCCATGAGAAGAGATGTTGTTAACAGAATAGAGGGGGTCATTAAAGATTTGTGGCCCACAGCACGGGTGAGTGTGGCCACACCGGACAGTGGGGTAACTAAACTCCTGCAGGGATTTATGGCTGTGGGGGGATGGGGGACAGAGTGGATGGTTCAGGGTAGTTTGAGCTTTACTGTGCCTTGATTGGGGGGTGACTGAGTCTAGCTGATTCACATAATTTCTTTTAGTTTTTTTCCCCCATTCATAAGGGTGGCAAAAGTGAGACACAAGGTTCAAGCAGAAGGGCAAACATTTTAGCTTTTATCTAGTAGGGAAACTTATAACTTATAGTTACCGTGACCTGATCCACCAGCCCACAGAGTACATAATTATGCAGTATAAATTTGCCTCCAAATATGATGGTAAAAATTATTATTTTTATCAGTGACAGGTTCCAATCAGTGCCATCCCATTAGAGCCATTACTGCCCCTGTCCACAAAGCAAAAAGCAGTATTTGATTTCTGATTAGGCACAGCTTTCCTTTATCGCCTCATTTTATTTACATTAACATTAACATTTTCATAATAGACTTAAACTTGTGTTCATAAAATGAATCATGATTAATTCAAAGCTACTTTGGGATTAATCAGATTAAAGATATTAATCATTTGACAGCCCTAGTTCATATCTAAGAAGCTAAGCTGTACCCAAAAGGGGTACTACAGTACACTTTGGATTGATCTTTAGTTGCCTTGCTTATTTGACCCAAAAAAAAAAAGGGGGGGGGGGGTTACCTTTTTTAATCATATTTTGTGTCACTTTAATTGTTTTCTAAGCACTAAGAACACATCCCTGGCCACCCGAAGTTCCACAAACTTGACTGAATTCTTTCCCATTGCTTGGACGTTGAGTCGACTAAATTTTAGATGGCTTAACTGACCTTTTAATAAAAACAATGGCTATAACGCATTCAGTTTTATACTAAGCTAAAGTTTGGTATGGTAGTAGCTGAGACGGATCCTCGACAATTTGGTTTTAAAGTTTTGCCACTTAACTATTCGAAGCCAAATTTTCTGTTGGTCAAATATGTCATGACAGATTGGATGCATTTTAATAAAGCTTTCAGGAGATAATTGTTAGAAATACTTCTGCAACTGATTACGTTTTGGAGCAAATCTAATTCAAGATGGCCAACTTGGCTTAGAAAACACACAGACCATTTTGTAGTTATGAGTAGTGGAACCAAACTCACCTGGGTCACAGGTCAATCGAGATAATGCTGAGGTTGAAATGAAAATGCCACTGAAATTGTGCAAATCCAACAAGCTCAAAAAGCAGATTTATAGCTTAGATAATTATGAAAATTCCCATCTACGATCCTAATGAAAAGATTAACACGATTCAGTTCAGAGCAAGTACATGGGGTCTGTGTAACGGTGGAAATGTTCCTGTTGAATTTGTTCATTTGTTGAATTTGTTGAATTTGTTCAATGTTTCCATATCAATCTCAGCATTTTCCCCAAAAAACCTGTTAGCTCGGCCCACTTTGTGCACTTGTAACAATTTTTAGCTACGAAATGGTTTACTGCTGTAATTCAGTTTTGTGCTAAAATTTTGCTTGGCAGTAGCTGAGAGCCATTCACAACACACATTTCAAGTGCTACTGTAGAAACTATTTGCTTAAAAGTTTAACAAAACTTTTAGCAATAATAATGTTAGAGTCCATTTAACCACTAGATAGATTTTAATAAAAGTAACCAATGAAATTTTGGAGTGAATCTAATTCAAGATGGTCGGCACAACTAATCAACATCAAGCAATTCAAAAATGTTTATAGCTTAGGTACCTATATATAGCAAAAGTTTGATAGACACTCACACCTAACATCATTTTAAAGGTTTGACCCAAATGACTGACATGAATGACAGAACAATAAACATTCCTATGAGACGGGTCACATTTTCCTGTTTTTTTTTTTCTTGCTTTATTTTCTATAAGGTCCTTCCTATTTCTTTAATACCGTTTACAAGTTTTTCTCTGCCATAAATTTCTAGGCAGACTTTTTTATATTTGAACTTCTACTTTGACATCCCTTTTTTCTTTACGTGTTGCTTCCTGGTGTTTCAAAACTTCCAACTATTACTGAATTTAAATCCCAGCCTAGGTAACACTTGCATTTAAACAATAATTTTGACAAAGTTAGGTGTAATTATGGAGAGAATCGTTTTAGTCCAAACTATCGTCAAGTATTCACATTGTAAAAGGTTAGAATGTATCTGGAGTTAAACCAGGCTTGATTTTTTTTTTCATTGTGTTCTCTGCAGGTGGAGATATTCGGCAGCTTCAGCACAGGACTGTATCTTCCTACAAGGTAACATTTGGTTTGATACTTTTGCTGTGCACTCTGACCTAACCAGGGTTTCTTGTCTTGTAGTTCTGAAAGTGGGAAAACCTAATATACAATTCTGTGAAGGGTATATTGATCTATTTTCTGTGCATTAATAAATCATAAAAATTACTGCTTGTCATAAGGTTTGAAAGAATTGTGGAATAGGCAAAACAGAGCGAGCAAAAAGTGGAATTTATCATTTCATTGCATTCATAATACATATAAATGTGTTAAATTATTTTTAACATCTCTATGGTTAATATTTTTGTAAGTATGAAATCAAGCATAGAAAAACAAGCTGTTCTGAGCCATATCAAATGGTCCAGTTTGAGTTTACTCCCAACAGTTTTCCAGATTTATTGAAATTCTGAAATGTAGGTCCACATTTAATAAAAACAAAGCACCATTAAAATGCTCTTAAATACACGTCTGTTCTTGACCATAAGTCATTTTGGTTTACAAATTTTTAATTCAAGGACACCTTGACCAATAGGAGGGAAAAAAATTGTGGTTTTTGTGTTTTCGTTGATGCATTTTTCTCAGTTTTTATGAAATCCTTCAACAATTAAACATGCAGTGGAGCCAATTTTGACATTATGAGAACTGTAAAGTATATAATATTAGGTAGTTATACATAGAAGGATTTGAGTTTTTAACATTTTCGTTGATTTTTATTTTGTACTGGTTTTCATAACATTGCAATGAGTGCCTTTTTAAAATTATAATCTTTATGGGAAAAAATGAGCACAGTTCAAACTTAGGGGCTGCAAACTTCAAATCTATGTGGCTTAATTTATTTAATGGTTTTACAGTTTATTGAACATGAACAAGGAGCAGCGCAGCAGCTAGGGATGGAAATGCGGAGAGACAAAGGAAACAACTGATTTTGTTGTTTTAAGTTGTGGAGTCTAAACATTCTGCGTCTACCGTGTTGTGCTTTCTAAGACCGGTACTTCAGTGGCTCCAAATCCTTTACACACCATCTGATAAGGCATGGTGTCTTGGTTGATGGAGTTTGCACAGCATTTCAAGCAACACATCAAGATCCAGTAGCAAGATCAGCATCTGCCTTCCCTGTTTGATGTAAACATAACAAGATGGAGTTGATAAAGTCAGTGACTTTCTTTACTCACTTTTCCTTTCCGGGACACGGAGAGCTCAAGCAGTCGCTGTGTGAGAGGCGGGTACGCTGGACAAGTCACAAGTCCATCACAGAGAGACAAACAAGTTTTTGACCTAACTTGTATGTTTTTGGTCTGTGGGAGAAAATCCATGCATGCACTGGGCGATCACATAACCTCCACTCAGAAAGAGCCCATGCCAGGAGGCGATCTTGTGACCTTCCTGCAGCAAGGTGATGGCATTAAACACTGTTCCACCATGCTGCTCCTGAACGTACACACAAACATTAATTTAAACTTGGATTGCACTGACAAGTTGACCTTGATTATAGGTGTCCCCTTTCATCTTCCAGCAAACCCTCTCCTTCCTTTAGGAGGAAAATGGACCAACCCAATGGATCAAATATGTGACTTGGTTATAGACTGTTCTTATAAGAAGAAATGTTCTACTTTATTCCTGTCTACAGTGACATTGATCTTGTGGTGTTTGGAAACTGGGACCACCCTCCACTGCAGGAACTTGAGCAAGCCCTGAAAAAACACAACGTGGCCGGCAATTTTCCCATCAAAGTCCTCGACAAGGCTACGGTGAGTCGACAAAAAGGCGTTTTTAAGAAAAAACTCATTTATAATGTTCTAACTCAGGTATATCAGTCATTTTCACCAAGAGCCATGTCTTTAACTATGACTAAATGCAAAGTGTCTCATTGCTACAGCTGAGCAATGCTAACAAACAATAACTGAGCTCTACATGGTGTTTTGTGCACAGAAACAGGGTTTTAACATGTCCTTTTATAAACAGAAATACTATTAAAATTAATCATTTAACTCACTGTTCAATTGTAAGCTGCTGCTATTTTGAATTCTGAACTTTCCCACTTTTGGACAGGAAATTTTCACTGGAGGGGCATTTCCAGTTTATATTTATGACCAGTACAACTGGACCGCAGAAAAAGTAGCCAGCAAAAATGCAGTGAAATTGAGATTTTACACAGCGATCTTCACAGACGAATGGCTACTTTTGAAACTTTCACCCAGTGATGGGATGCCGTTATTTTGCTGGTAAAATAATCAACGTACATTATGGAAGATGTAGCTTTTGTTCAGTGCTGGCTTTAAAACAGAATACATTTATTTTAAGACTATACTTTGAATAAAATGCAGTGGCTGGCCACATTTGGTCTGCGAGTCTTAAGTTTGACGCATGTTCTCAGAAAAAATCGCTGTTAGCTCATGAAAGTGTTGTTTGTAGTGCTTTTTGTAAAATGAATTCCATGTGTATTTCTGTCATCAGGTACCCATTATTAAACTCACGGACCATGAAACGAAGGTGAAAGTGGACATTAGCTTTAATGTCGAGACTGCAGTCAAAGCAGCACAGTTTATCAAGAGCTATCTAAAGGTCAGCCTCAGACTTCAATATGTTTTGGTGGAGCTAACAATGTATTGTTTGCTTGTGTTCATTTTTTTTTTCTTTGTTTTGTAGAAGTACACAGTTCTTCCACCCCTGATCTTCGTTCTGAAGCAGTTTCTCTTTCAGAGGGATCTCAATGAAGTCTTTACTGGAGGCATCAGCTCATACAGCCTTATACTGATGGCCATCAGCTTTCTGCAGGTGCTCATAATCATGCAATACATTATGTAATATCAACCTGTAGACGAGGTATTGTACATGCAAATTCAAAAAAATCCTTCATTTAATTTTTTAGCCGACTCAACATAATCTAAAACGCAGCTCAGAAACTACAAGCACTATAGTGGTGGTTTTATTCATTCTGTTAAGTCACATTTTTCTCTTTACACTTGAAAACAACCCACAAATTTAGGTGTATAACATGTTATTTAAGAACTTTTCAGCCTAAAGTACAGACAGCTTACATATTTGCATATCATGTTGCATAAATAAAGCAGCAATAAATAGAGAAAAGAAAAATATTTTTCAAAATTCCTTTAAAAAGTACTAAAAAGTATACTATACTACTAGACTATTATCAAGACAAGAAAGAAAGAAATGCTGCAGCAAAGTCATTAAGGCCATGAAAGCTCCACATAAATCTGTTAAACTTTTATCTCTGCGCTTTTGGAGATTTATTTATCTCTGTTTTATATTCATGTGCAAATCACTTCCCTGACCAGCCCAAAACAAATAAATTTTGTTTCTTATCCAGATGGAGACAAACGTTTAAATTTCTAGTTAATCTGACATTTAATGACTTTTCAGCAAATCCAGACAGTTAGAAATATTCACATTATCTGCTGAATTTATGGTACTGAAAAACTGAACTCCCATATTGTTTTTTTCTTATTGTAGCTTAACAGCAAAGCTTTTCGATCAATAATGTTAATAAACCTGCAGGTTCATCTGTGTATTCAGGTTAATGAGGGTTTATATCTTCTTTGCCTTGAGTCATGTAAGCTGATAATAAAAAAAAAAAGTTTTAGGCCCAAATAATTTGTCAAAATTAGTCAGTTAACTGATGAAACATCAGCAGTAGTTGGAGATTTTATGTTGATGTTCGATAATCTTCTTAATGCTTTAAACTGGCTACTAAAAACATTTCCTGTGATGTATCTGACTAGTTAACATTTATTTAGCATTATTATAGAGATTTTGAACTGGTTATAATATGACAAATATGGCTGTGGTAGTTCAGTGGTGCAGCCTTTTAATCCTAAGGCCGCAGGTTGAGCCCAGGACACAGTGCTTGCAGTGGTGATCCCTGCGGAAGGGAACAGCTAACAAAACGGCAACAATATGTGCTTTTTAAAAATGTATAAAAATTCTGATTTTATTTTGGTTATTATTCTCTCTCCCTCAATCACTCATATGGTGAGTGGCACATTTTAAAACTAAAACTGGATTTGTGACTCTGAAAACAGAGTTTCAGCTAATCTTTCCTAGCTAAGCAAACAAATAATTCTTTAGTATTTTCAAGCAGGAATGCTAATTGTAGAACTTTGAAAAAAAAATGTAACATGAGCAATAAAAACTGACACTAAAATATTATTTGGATATTTGCTAGACACTTTCAACCAAATAAGCAAACTGTTAGTGGTTTAAAACCAAATGTCCCTCCAGTCACCACTAGATGTCACTGTGGCATTTCTTTAATTCTTGTATGCTGTGTTCAGGGCAGGACACTACGTTTACATCTTGTGCCTGGTGATTCATGTATAAAGGAGATGTGCTTTACTTAGGAAACCAAAGTTCTTACAACTGAAATTATCAGATTATTATTTTTTTTAGTTAAAAAACATGACATATAAGAGGGTGGTTTGCTGCATTATGTGGAAAAAAAGATTTGTGTAAACACTTTACACTTGAAACAAATCTTCAGAATTGTTTTATTTTATATAAACCTTCATGGGTTTTGTTCTGTTCACTTAAGGAATTTGAATATAGTTGTAACAAATTTTGCCAGTAAAGAAACATGTTTAATTTGTGCTGGCCATGATATGCAGCTAAATGAACTTGGCAGCTGTGTATTAAAAAGCTGTTTTATTTATAAAGTCTTTAAGTTTAATACTCTACTCAATTTTTTACAGTAAATTTTTCAGTAATTTGTGGAAATGTTGGCTTATTTTCTATTAATAATAAAGAAGGGAACCTATGATGTACTAGTTCATTGAGTCAAACTTGGTGTAAAGGAAAATGTATATAATTTTTTGATTGATCAAATCAAAATCTTACTTGCATTAAAGCATTTTGCTGCAGTACTGTGCTGACAATCAAAACTGATCGTCTTAAACCATATTTGTTTTTGTTCTTCCTGCCTTGTTAACCAGTTGCACCCTCGGATCGACACCCGACGTACCAACATTAACCTGGGCATCCTCCTCATCGAGTTCTTCGAGCTCTACGGTCGCGATTTCAACTACATGAAAACGGGCATCCGGGTGAGAAACGAAGGCGCCTACCTGTCCAAGGAAGATATGCTGAAAGCCATGGGGAACGGAAACAGGCCATCCATGCTCTGCATAGAGGATCCGGTCCAGCCAGGTTGGATTTATTCTCAAATTATTGATACATTTTATTTGTTGAAACCTCTCCTGTGATTAGATGATGCATGGTATAACTCGAGAAAAAAACAAAAGATAAAACATCCACACACTCTGCTGCAATGGAAAATATGCACAAAAGGTGTGAAAAAGGCCAATTACTGTATTTCTGTAATTCAGCAGGAGTGTTAATTTCTGGTGGGAGTAAATGCCATTTTTGTCAAATGTGTGAACATTTAAAGCTAATAATTATGCTTTTGACCTTTTTTGCAATCATTTAATCTTGATTTCCTGTTAATTGCACTCTGCACAAGTGCTTTTGATTTCTTTTTATTGGAAATGCTGGTTTGAGAGTTGGTTGGGACTCGGCTGTTAGATGCCTGCACAGTGTTTTAGCTGGAGGATTAAGCTGTCATGTAAAAACTCCATATTCTGATTTATTTATTTTATTTATTTTTTAACAGACAATGATGTGGGCAGGAGTTCCTACGGAGTCCTGCAAGTCAAACAAGTGTTTGACTTTGCCTACATGGTGCTGAGCCACAGCGTGTTCGCACGTTCTTATCCAAACAAAGAGTTTGACAGGTTTGTTTCGCTGACTCTGCTGCTGAATGAAGTTACGTGAGTTTTCTGGAAGCAAAAAAATTTTTTTTTTTTTTTTTTTTTGCAGCACTTTGGGTCGAATTATTCGAGTCAGCCCCGAGGTTCTGTCCTACAGAGAACGGACAATCAAGAAGTGGGGCACTAAGCAGAGTGCCAAGCTGGAAAACCAAGGCAAGTTAATGCTCCTGTTTTGGCAGACATGTACTTTTTGTTAAACCTGAAGTGAAAGACTTGAGCCAGTCGTTGTCGAAGTCATGCAGATTGTTTTCTGAGTGCACTTCTCTTCGGTGTGGTTTCAGATGTAGAGGCCTGTGAGCAGGACCTGGCCCGTATGATGGTGGTGGAGGATCAAAGGGACTCTTCCTCCCCCCTCAGCGCTGACTCCTCCTCACCTTCTCCAGTCTTTCCTCCGAGCCCTCAGCATCATTCTTCATCATCTTCTGCCTGCTCACTTTCTTCCTCCTCCTCTGGAAGTGACATTGTGAGGCCACAATATTTCTTTTGTTATTCGTGACAATGTTAAATTAGCACAACCTTAGTTTATAACAATCATTATTTCTCTAAACCCTTTCTAGGAGTCAGATTCTCCACAAAGCAACAATGCTGCTGTCCAGCTCTACCCTCTCACCTTGGCTTCTATTCATTCGATGATCCAGATGGCTGCTGACCTGGGGGCCGCACAGTCTGCAAACTTTATCCACACAATGCATCAGGTTAGACCAGAAGCTTTTCGCTGTATCCTTTTGAGGTGTTGCACCGCAAGAAGCACAAATAGCTAATGTCTTACCTGTTGTAGATATATGGGCAACCTCAGTTTGCTGAAATACTTTAATTCTGAACTCTGTGATTTAATTAGTTGTTAGTCTGAGTAGGGTTAAGAGCACAAGTGGATTCATGCCTGGGGGCCAAACGGGGTGTGTGTGTGTGTGTGTG